TGACGGATCTCGTGGAGCGTGATGGTTGTGCGTAGGCACCTTGTCACCTGTTTAAGGAGGTGATGATCTCGGTTTAAGTAGACCTCGGTAGGTGTTGACCACTTCGGTCTTTGGTAGTTCGGTTCGGTTCATTGCCTGGACCGGGGTGGTGTTAAAATCACGTCGGTTCAATGGTCATCTTTCTCTTAATATGATGTTTGGAACCTCTTAATGTTATTTTATCGAATCGGATGATAACAGAGAGACCCCCAATATCGGTGGGCATACGGAGTGATGGTCATCGATGTTGCCATGCCAGACATTTAGAGGCTCCGAATCGGTAAAAAGTTAGCGGCAGGGTGTTTATTGTCTTCGGAGGGTCATCTTTGGTCTCCTGTCCGACGTAACCGAGGTAACCGAGGTGAGTCATTTGTCCGAAGTGTAGACTGTATTCCGAGGTGAAGACACTTGGCGAATTTCAAATAATTTGCAGGTAGTCGCGACATGAGGGACGTGAATAGTCGTAACGGTCAACGATTTAATGTTTAGACTGAACGGTCGCGCCGTAATGGTCTTAAATGAGGTAACGGTCGGCTTTAATAGGTTGCCACGTGTAACAGTAGGTGTCTTATCAGACGAAGAGGTGGCGTCGGTTAGAATTAGGGGTCGCGTCGGTTCGACGCGCCCCTTAATTAAGATCCTCAACGGTCACAAAATCGGCAATTATAAATAGGGTTTCGCGACATTTGATCGAATTTTCTTCACTTGCGCTTTCATTCTTAGACTTTTGCATCCGATAAACTTGTTGAGGAAATTCTTTTGAGTTCGAGAGTCGTTACTTGTTCACTGTGTGTCTGCAGATCCTTCGGTGAGTTCTTTCTTCGATTCTTTGTTCATTTCTTTTGTATTCTCGTTTGTTTTTTGTGCAATGGCGTCGAAGGGCAAGGGTAAGGCGGTAGTAAGTTCATCGAGCACTGAGTCGGTTCCGTTGGAGGTTTACCACGATTCGGAATTGGTTGAATTGGCTTTTGAATATCACCGGTGGGACCCGTCGTTAGTAAAACATCTGGATATCAAGTTGAACGATGAGGACGGTGATTTGGTCGTGGAACATAACGCGACCGACCTCGTGGTGCCCCATTGGAGAAGACCGGTAAGGAGGTGGCCCGATCCTGAGGTCGATTTCGTGGGTGAACCAAGTATCCTTACCGACGCCGATGTCGTGTTGCTGAGAGAGCAGATACGGATCCCTCCCTCGGTGAAAATTTTCGCCCCTTATCCCGGGGAGAGAATAACAA